CCCCGGGCCCCGCCCCCGCCGCCCCGCTCGGCGTCTACCCGAGGGCGGGGCTGTCAGTGCGGGGAGCTTCTTCCCCGTCACACACCTCCCCTACCAGTCCCTTAGTCCTTTCCTTCCACGCCCCCACTCCCCCACAACGTGACAAGAAATCTGCGTTGGCGTGTTCCCGTCCCGCCTTGTGCGCCACCGAAAACTTGTACTGTTGTAAGAACAGGTACCACCTCATTATACGCGGGTTTGCCTCCCGCATATTATACATCCACTGCAGGGGTGCGTGGTCGGTTACCAACTGGAACGTGCCTCCTAACAGGTAGTAACAGAGCGCTTCTACCGCCCAGCGCACTGCCAGGGCCTCCCGCTCGATAGTCGAGTACATCTGTTCTCGCGGCAGCAGTTTGCGGCTCAGGTAGAGTATCGGCCTCTCAGTGTCGCCCTGTCGTTGGGCTAGGACCACCCCTAGCCCCACGTCAGAGGCGTTGGTTTGCACCAGGAAGGGTTTTGTGAAGTCCGGTTGTGCCAGCACCGGGGCTCGGGTAAGGGCCCTCTTCAGTTGCTGGAACGCCTCCTTGCATTGTGGGGTCCACTGTACCTTCTGGGCGGGCCCGCCCTTTGTCAGGTCTGTTAAAGGGGCGGCTATCGTAGCGAAGCACGGTATAAACCGCCTATAATAGCCCGCCAGGCCCAAGAATTGCCGAACTTGCTTTTTCGTCGTGGGGGCTGGGTGGTCCCGTATGGCCTCGACTTTGTCCATTTGGGGCTTTAGTTGCCCGTTCCCCACGATATACCCTAGGTAGGCCACCTCGTCCTGAGCAAAAGCGCACTTGCCGGGGTTCGCAAAAGCGCACTTGCTGGGTTCGTGGTCAGCCGGGCTTTTTCTAGAGTTTCCAGGATTGCGCGAACATGCCCTAGGTGGTCCTGCCATGACGTGCTGTACACTACCACGTCATCAATATATGCCGCTGCGTACGCCCGGTGCTCTTCCAGGAGGTGGTCCATCATCCGCTGGAACGTGGCGGCAGCCCCGTTCAATCTGAAGGGCATGGTCTGAAAGTGGTAGAGTCCGAACGGTGTCGCAAAAGCGGTTTTTTCCTGGGACGCCAGCGTGAGGGGGATCTGCCAGTATCCCCTGGTGAGGTCGATGGTTGTCAGGTACCGGGCCTTCCCCAGCCTTTCCAGCAGCTCCTCCGTGCGCGGCATAGCGTATGCATCGAATTTGGAGAGAGCATTAACCTTGCGGAAGTCTATGCAAAAGCGCAGCGTCCCATCTTGTTTCGGTACCAGGACAATCGGACTCCGCCATTCACTCTTCGATTTCTGGATTATGCCCATCTGTAACGTTTTCCTCAACTCCTCTTGCACCGTCCCCCATAACTTCCAGGGGAGCGGCCGCAGCGGTTCCCGCACCCTCTACCCAGGTGTGGTCTGGATGTGATGGTGCGCCACCTCGGTGCGCCCGGGTTGCATCGATAGCACCGCCGCGAAGGACCGGAGTAGGGTTCGCATTTCTTCTTTCTGGGGGTCGGTCAACATGAGCCCCAGGTGCGGCTCCCTCCCTGGTTGGCTGAGATCTATTCCCCAGGGCCCCAACTCCGGTTCTGTAGGGCGAGTGGTCACCAGCAGGCTCTCTCGCGTGTTCCACTTCTTGAGAAGATTCACATGGTAAATCTGGGTCTTTTTGCGCTTACCCGTCAGCTGGATTTCGTAGTCTGCGGGTCCCACTTGCTGCCGCACCTCGTAGGGGCCCTGCCAGATCGCCAACAGCTTCGAATCCGTCGCTGGCAGGAGGAACAGCACTCGGTCGCCCGGTGCGAACGTCCGCTCGTGAGCCCCCTGGTTGTACCACCGGGCCTGGCGTGCCTGGGCCGTTAGCAGGTTGCTCTGGGCGAGCTCGCTGCGCAGTTCTAGGATGTATTGGACTGTCTCCTTCGTGCGGGAGTCTTGCTCCTCCCATCCCTCCTTCAGGAGGTCGAGGATGCCCCTTGGCTGCCTGCCGTAGAGCAGCTCAAACGGTGAGAAGCTGGTTGAAGCCTGCAGCACCTCCCGTACGGCGAACAGGAGGGCGGGCAGGAAACGGTCCCACTCTCGGGGATCCATCCCCACAAATTTTCGCAGCATCGTTTTTAACGTCCTGTTGAAACACTCCACCAGCCCATCGGTCTGGGGGTGGTAGACGGAGGTCCGCAGTTTTTTCACCTGAAGCAACTTACATAGCTCCGTCATGACCCATCCCGATACGTTTGTCCCCTGGTCTGTCAGGATCTCCTGGGGTATGCCCACGCGGGCAAAGATCTTGACCAGCTCTGCCACCAGCCTTCGTGTTCCTTAGCGGCACGGCTTCGGGGTAGCGGGTTGCATAGTCAATGAGGACAAGGACATACTGGTTGCCCTTCTTGGACCGGGCCAGAGGGCCCACCAGGTCCAACGCCACCCGCTCGAAAGGGGTGTCTACCACGGGCAGTGGTACCAGGGGGGCTCTCGGCACCCCTCCGCCCCCGGCCCGCTGGCACTTGGGGCAGGACACACAGAAGTCCTTGATCTCCCAGTGAACCCCGGGCCAATAGAAGCATTGCAGGACCCTCTGGGATGTCTTTTCTACCCCCAAGTGGCCAGCCCAGGGGTTCGCGTGTGCCAGCTCGAGGACTTGCCACCGGAACCACGCCGGCACTAGCAGCTGCCAGTTTTCACCCCCTTCCCCCGGCCGAGTGACCACGCGGTATAGCCGGTCCGCTCTTACCTCGAACCGCGGGTTCTGAGTGTGCGGATGTCCCGGGGGTGTCTCCATCTGGGCCTGCTCCCACGCATGGGCCAGCGAGCGGTCCTCCCTCTGCTCCCCTCGAGGACTTGCCACCGGAACCACGCCGGCACTAGCAGCTGCCAGTTTTCACCCCCTTCCCCCGGCCGAGTGACCACGCGGTATAGCCGGTCCGCTCTTACCTCGAACCGCGGGTTCTGAGTGTGCGGATGTCCCGGGGGTGTCTCCATCTGGGCCTGCTCCCACGCATGGGCCAGCGAGCGGTCCTCCCTCTGCTCCCGCAGGAAGTCCGCTCCTTCCTCGACCCTGCCGCCGTGTGCTCCTGGCGGCGTGGTTTCGCCTGCCTGGGCCTT